CATAGAAGAGGAGCAATCTCTTTAATGCATTGAGTGAGGAGTTACTTGAATTAAAAGTTAAGCATTGAAGAGATATTTGTAACTCATATTTTTCATTCAATATTTTCATTCAACAATATTATTATTTTCCAACATTACTGTATTGATTTTTAAATATATTAGTCATCCCTCCCTGATGGCAAGGAGATTGGACTTTCTGCATATTTGACAAGGACCTTTGCTATTGTTAAGTAGATTGCTTGGGCATTGTTGTTGCTGCCCGACCATGCTTCCTAGGGACATGTTGTCGAGCTGTAGAGAATTGCAACCTCATCCTCGCTGCCTGAAGAAGGTTTGGGCGAGATTCACAAACACATTTACTTATTCCTTTCTTGCATTTAGAGTTCGATCATGGCTTTAGAGTGCTAAGATAGTCTTGGTCCTTTAATTCTAAGGGTCTTCACTTGGTTCATTTGGAGTTGGCAAAATAAGAGTAATAGAGGGAAGAACTAAGTGGGAGAGGTTTGTTCTTCGATGAATATTTGTGGTTATCTCCAGAGAGTTTTCTTTGTTAATTCCATTGCCTTTCCTCGACAGTGATTTGATCTGGCGTGGCACAAATCTGAGCTCAACATCAAAGACTCCATTGGTGGTGGTGTTGAAGAAGTTTTGGGTCTGTTTTTCACCACTTTGGAGAGATATCATTCCGCATTGTAGTTGTAATAATCTTTGTAATCTACATTATATCTCTACAGTGATCAACAGATTCCTCAAGTATCCTTCCTCCTCTATGATTGGGAGTTGTTACCATTGAAGAAAGGTTGAAAGGAAATGACACAATGATGCAAATGGCTATTAAGCTTAAACTATTTGGCCTAGCTGAAATTGAAGTCCAGCCCAACAATCTGTTTTAACTTAAATTGGTGCAATAAATGTGTTTTGTGAAAAAAAGCCTGAAAACGCGTTTTACCCTTACCTGATGAAATGGACGCCAATGGAGTCACCACATGTCACCTCCAACACCGTTGGATGTGTGACTGCTGAGTGACCCATTTAAAAGGGTCTTTCTAGGGTTTGAGATCCTAACGCCGGCTTCGAGAGTCTTCTATTTCTCTTACTCTCTCTGTGCCGTTCTTCGAGTTCTCTCTTCTCCTTGCTGTTGAAATCAAATCCCCTCATTTGATTTCTAATTTCTTCACTCATTGTTGTAATCTTTAGTGATTTCATTGGATTTGAGTGTGGGTTCTTGTGTGAACCATGTATAGTGAAGAGATCTCTTATTTTTGTGTAATAATCGGTCTTGACTGAGTGCTATCCTTTTGTAATCTTTACTTTGGAGTCTGATTCAAGTTCTGACTGAGGTTGTTCTTGAGATTGAAGCACTAATTTGAGTAGTGCAGCCTGTGGGCGTCGACCTTGAATAAATGCTACGGTTTCTTTTCATTTTAGCAGTCTTCCGTTCTTTTATTTCAGCTTCAATAGTGTTCAGTTATTGCAGTTTTCTTTCTTGTAGTTTGTGTTGTATTTGTTCAGATTTATTACAGATTCTTCAGTTCATATTTTCAGTTCAGTTTTTTTTTCTGTTAGCACATATTTTCTGTTGATTCGTGAGCTAATTGATTGATCTCCTCCCAACAGAGGTCCACAGTTTCCAAGCAGTTACAGCATCATGAACCAAGCTTAACGTGCCTTCTTATATGGCGCCAAAAGACCATGAAAGAAGTAGGCCATTTCCTTTATCATCTTTAGTTTTTGCAGCCAGTTTTTCATCGTTTTAAAGATTATTAAACACACACAAGCTATGGATTAACGGAGTAATTTGAGAAATAACTCTAGTGCTTAATTTTCCTAAGATCGTGATGGTGTATTCGTGGAATAATTGAAAGTAGTTCAGGCTTATTATCAAGCCGTTTCAGTATCACGACTGCTCCATTAATCAATCAATCACTGTGATGTGACACTATGATAGGAATTGCATTGATGTTGAAAATAGGCCGGCTTATTTACATATGAAAGCAAAGCAAAGAAATTAAGTCAGAAGACAATCGTCATGTTAAACACAAGGAACGAAATTCTCTACTCAAGTCCTAGTGGTGTGGTCTCAAGGCTGGCAGCTCTGCTCAGCACTTTCTGCTGATTATCAGCCTGTTCAGTTGGTATCTCAGGATTCATTCCATGGCGTCTACAGAAGGAAGGAACTTTTGGGGTCATACGAAACCTAAGAGGTGGCGGATCCCTTTCCCCGTCTCCCCACAGGGCATAGGCTTCCTCCCCGTGTACTGCATCGTCCCCTATCTCAAGATCATCTTCATCCATTCTCAGCTTAATTATACGGCTTATCAAAATGCATATTAAGCTCGTCACCACCACGTTCCAAGCTGTTATGAAAAGTGCTCCTAAGAGCTGGTAACCCAATTGGCGTAGTCCACGCTGGAACTTTTCTCCACCGTTAACTATTCCATACACAAAGCCCGGGCCCGGAACACGTCTGGCAGAAATATAGAAAATATCAAGAAGGTCAGGCTGGGCAAAGAGGCCAGAGAGAATCCCTCCTAATAAACCAGCTACAGCGTGAGTGTGAAAAACTCCCAATGTATCATCAACCTGTTGGAAGAATGCCGATTTCTTGTGCAAAACCATCATGGTGTACCATGGTATCGACCCAGACAATGCTCCCATTATTATTGCCGCCCACGTATCCACAATTCCTGCCATTAATACAATTTTGATCTTTTTAGTATGAGAAAAGTTCTCTAATCTGGTTTTTATGCAAAACATAAAAGGGACAAAAAAGAGTAGGAATAAACTACCTGCTGCAGGTGTAATGCAAACAAGGCCAGTGATCATTCCCTGAACAGCACCAATGACGGAGCTTTTGAAGTAGAAAATGATGTCAAGGGAAAGCCATACCAAAAGGCTCATAGCAGTGCAAATATGCGTGTTTAGTATAGCAAGTGATGTAATTTTGTTTGCTGCTAGTGGTGACCCCCCATTGAAACCAGTCCACCCCATCCATAGAAACCCTGCACCTCCCAGCATGTGTATTATGTTGTTTGGTGGAAAATGTTGTCTATCGTGCGAATGCCTGGGTCCAACCTACGCAATATATACGAATCAATATCCAATTTTTCAGATTTCTAAGCACAATATATAGCATGAATGAATAACCTAATAAGACCAGTTGAGGTGAGAGGTGTGGTCATGTCAAATTACCCAATAAGCAGCAGTGAAACCAGCAACTCCAGAAGACAGATGAATAACATAACCACCAGAGAAATCAATAAGAAAGTCATTGAGAAAACCTGAGCCCCAAATAGTATATGCACCAACTGTATAGGAGAAAGTGAGCCAGAGTGGAACAAACAACATCCAAGCATAAAAGTTCATTCTTCCAAGCAATGAACCAGCCAAAAGTATAACAGTGATGGCAGCAAAAGCAAATTGGTAGAAAACATAATCAACTGTGGGAAGAAAAGAACGTTGATATTGCCTTAGCAGAAACTCTTCAGTCATGGCTTGATCAGGCTTGCCCAACATAGAAATCATAGGAGTTCCAAAAGACATATGGTAGCCCCACAGGACCCAACAAATCAAAACTGCAGCAAAGGCATAAAGGGCCATGAAAGCAGAATTCACTGCCCATTTTTTCTTAACCATGCTGCCGTATAGTATTACGAGGCCTGGAACACTTTGTAGTCCGACCATGGTCGCCGCCGTTAGTTGCCATGCGTTATCTCCTTTGTTTAGCCAATACGGTGACCCCTCGTCGAAGGCTAGACCTACTGGGAGGGATGGAGAGTTGTCATTCATTGGAGTGGATTGGAGGATAAATTTGTTTTTATGATGTTGGAGGTCGAAAATTCTTGGCTAGAATTGTGATGTTTGCAATATATAGATGGCGTTGTGTAGTAATCGGGCATTGGAATAATCTACAAATTTGGTTGCATAAATGATACGAGTTTTTTTGTCTTTTGAGGTTGACAGACAGATAGATTCATTATCAAGGATTTTAGTTGTAATCGATGCTAGTACAGTACATAGAAATAGCTAGATTCTTGTAAAGGTCGATCCTGTTTTCTAGTACTACCAAAATAGTGAATGAATCTATTAATTTCGTGAAACAAAATCGATAAACAAAAACATAGATTGGTACAAGTGGCTTTGGTAACTTATCTGTTATCTCAACCAATACAAAATACACATCAAGTTGAAGTCACTTGCCACTGGATTTCGGGTTGAATCAAATCATATATGTAAAATTTTCAAAATATAAAGATTTATTTTTTATGACAAATTTGAAGTTTTAAATTGCTTATCAATATTTTACATTATCATTTAAAACTAATTTTGTTACCATAATGTTTATATTTTTTGCTGAAGTTTTATCTCCATACATATAACAAATTCAAAAAGGAGTTTTTTGATGTGATTCAGAGTGTGTTTGATGCACATTTTTTAGAAGAGAATACATTTTTTTTTTTGTGATATGATGG